CTAACTGGCATGAATCTTCAAAAGTGACAATTTTGGAACACTTAGCAACAACTAGTAAACAAGTAGAACCGGTCACATGAACTGCTCTGGAAATTTGACTTACAGCTGATTTCAGTAGAGTTTGTTGTTAGCATGTTGCTAAGCTAACAGAGCCACCAAAATATAACAAAATTTAGTCTATTTTATTGATACATTAGGTATGAACTTTATTTATAATCAACATTTCTCCCGCTTCCTCCACCATCTCTAATGATGTTTCCACTGACCCGAGCGCAATGCATTATGGGATTGCATTCTCCACGAAAGCCTTACAATTCAGCCAAAACGAGGCATTATTTTGATGTCTACCATTTAAAACAGTCTTTGTGTTGGGATTGTGTCCATGCTATCTTTAAATACTGCTTGTGTAGGCATCTCACTGGGTTTTGGACCAGAGCTAATGTTCTTGTATTCAATTCTTTGTAGCCTTCTTTCCAAACTTCTGCTCTGGAATCCCTCTCCTTACAGCACAAACACACAGATCGGTTTCTAATATGTTTTCAGAGAACAAATGATGATAAAACCCCTTTAGGAAGCTCATGTTACATCACCTCAGCGCTGGCAGTTGAACACGCCGCTGCGTTGTTCTTAAGCGAACACTGAGTCCAGTTACCGTGACAAATTTCTTAACGTGATGGAGCCATTAGCACTGAAGAGGGTGGCCAAGTCAAGTTTCAGACTTTCTTCAGCCTAACCCATTTCTTAGGCTTTGAAGTCAACAAAATGGTCATACTTGCTGTTCTGATGTCAGCATTTCCTGTAACCAGGAGACGAGGGGTCAGTTAGATTAATAGTCCAAATGTAAGGATTTGTCTACTTCTACAGGCAACTATGAGACTTTCACAGAAGGCATTTGTTCTGCTTGCTGTACATCCATTAAAATGAAAAATGATACAGTGGCCCCAAAAAGCATTTGGACGCTTATGCCACACTTACAAATGAATGAATGTCATTGCATTCAAAATGTCAAACCAAGTGTTATCTGCTATAGCTTTCTTACATAGTGTTATAGATGTGCATAATTCAGCTCCGAATAGAACTTCACATGTTGTCATCTCAGAATTATGGTAATTACAACATGGTGTGAAGACAGCCTATATTACACCTGGTCTCTACTACATCTGTCACATCAGATTTTAAATGAATTTTGTCAATGTTTAGTACTACAAGATGCCGTTAGAGCTAAAGACATGGTGTAAAGGCCACAAAACTTGAATTTAGAAGACATGAGGGCTTTTCGCATTTGAAATGGTTCAAATAGCTCTAATTCTAAACCCTGGGTAAATGGAATCCTGGGTTATTTGACTTCACGTTTCAGACTTTACCCGGGATTAACAGTTAATCCTGTGTATTCATATGTTCAGGAATAATGTGTAACACTGTACATTCCAATAGGTTAACGTTCTTATTTAACTAAATTACACTGCTGCAAATAAAGTGAAAATGAAATGAAAAGTGTCGATTGTGGCATTACATTTAGATCTGCTGATGTTGTGTCATATTTCTTTTCAAGCGCTTTTACAGCGTTGAGCATTACAACCAATCACAAACGATTCTGTTGAGCTTACGAATGCAATGGCCAATCAGAGGCGTTCAGATGAGTCATCTAGTGATGGGAAGTTCGGATCATTTTACTGACTCGGATCTTTGAATCTCGTTCAGCAAAAAAGAACGAAGAAGTCATTTTGTTCATTTCAGTGTAAATAGAGCATTCCGTTTAGGTTAGGGGAACATTGCGGGAATGTTTCCAGAACATTCTCAGTAGGTTCCCGGGAACGTTCCTCTAACCTAAAGGGAACGTTCTATTTATGTTAAGAAATCTTTCCTGGCTAACCAGCAGGGAACGTTCCTAGAAGGCTTCCAGAAAGTTCTCTATGTAAATGCTCATTGTTTGCTTTCTGTATATAATTTATTTGCTGTTTGAATAACAGCGTTATTAGTAACTTACAATGTTTTTATTCAATTGTGATCACGTTAAATATAAATTCAGTCGAATATTTTATGACATGACACCCATACTTGCCTAAAAAGACGGGTTTATGATGTGTGTAGTTAACAGATTACACCAACATTATAGGCTACTTTTAGCCTTATATGGTATGCTTCTATACATGACAGTGAAAAATGACTTGAGATAATCCTTAAAGTACGTTAATCTTTATGTGTCATTTCAGTGATATGATTAATGATCAGTGCATGTCAGTCACTTTAGCTCCAGAAAAACAGTTTTGCACATGTTAAATGCTTTAGTGAAACAGGCCTGTTGAGAAAGGGTCACCGCACGGTTTTCAAAGAAAAGCAGAGATCTAGAAGAAGACGTTCTTTGTGCGATGCCTTTGCAAACACGTTAGGCAAGCACGTCTCATGCCGTCTATTTTGGTGTGCATCTACAGCTTTCCCACGACAGCAGAGAGAGACCGTGTGAAGGGCTTTCATAACCTCTCTCACATGGTGGCCCGCCCCGCTGCGCTCAGCTGAACGTCTAGACTCACACAATGTGGACCCTGTTGGGACCGGTTACGGCTGTGTCCACCATATCAGAAATCAGACCCAGGGTTACATTAAATCGTGCATAAATAAGGAAACGTTTACAATATTCTTAGTATTTGACAGGAGATCATATGCTACATAAGCTGCATTTGATACACTTAAACTTTAAATTCCATACAGAAATTCCATTTCAGCATTTGAATTTTCAAAGAAGAGTTCCCACACTTTTTGACCAATACATTTCCATGAGCGTTTCCTCAGTAGTTTGTGATTACTGGATAAGGAAAAATCATTCGAATTCATACCAATGAGTCATTTAGACAAATTTGTGAACCCATTTAAATGAACTGACTCAAAGAATGACTCGCTCCCAAATCAGACATTGTTAGCTTGCAAGCAAGTTTCATCCTACACGAGACAAATATTTATCCATTTCAATATTTCACACTATAAATTGTATTTTTTATGACTTTGTCGTGGGATGATGGACAGTTTAGGACTAGTAGCCTATTCACACCACAGAGTTTGCTTCAAATTATAGATATTATTTGATACGTATTGATTTTTGAAAACAAAAACTCCTTGGGAGTTTGGAATAAAATCAAATTCATAAATTCAAAACATTCAAGTGAAATTTGATTTGATTTCAGAAATCCAAATGTAAACAACTGAATGAAATTTAATTCAAATCTAAATAAATGTTTTGACAAACCCCAGGATGTGTTTTCACGTTTCTGTTTTTTTTTTCCATAGAAAAATTTCATAGACAAACACAAGGGGGGGG